TTCTTTTATTCTACTGGGATTGCTCAACAGCACTAAGAACACCTGACCAATCAATAAAATATATTTCCATTTGGTCTGCGACAAATTAAAGCGTTTTGCGTTATTAGACTTTGGCACAGTCCATTTAAACATTTAAGTAGAGTAGGCTTAAATGTTTAAATGCCAGTTTAAAGTTTCAGAGCTCTAATGTGCAGACATCGCCTTAGGGGAAAAAACAGCACTGAGCACGCACTCAGTGACAATAATAAGAATTAACTGCATTAAAATGTTTATTTTTGTGCCCTAAATCACCAGATTAACAGTTTGACGCAGAATTCATCTTTTGTCCTTTTTACAGCGTGATATTTTACTAAACGTTTATTATTTATTTATTATTTTCTTAAATTTTAATCACCATTTAATTGTTGGTGGCACTCACAGAAATTGTTTACTGTGGGCGAAAAATACATATGATCTGTGAAACAGCCATTTTAGATTAGTCAGATACTGCCAACAACACCATTTCATGTGAACGCGCAGGAAACACTCTGGGTTAATTTGGCGAACTGATAACCAGCTTCGTGTAACTGCTCATCCCAATTTCCAATGTCAGGGAAAGTCAATCCAGGTAATGGAAAACTATCCTGTATGTTGAACTGGCATTATAGTATCGGGTTCAGTGAAACCTTAGAGCATGAAACAAAATTATGTACCGTCTCTGCTCCAGGGACAAAAGAGATTTCAAACAGCTGCAACAAACTACCACAACTACACAGCCCGTCTTTAAATCTGTGGGCAGGTGTGCAGAGCTATATAGAGCATGCACAAGAACCTTGCAAGTCTATTGTGTTGTGGAAGAACGTGGCCCCAAAACAGACTAAAAAAAACCCCAGTAAAATAGTGAAACAGAGTAAAATAAGCAAAAAACGAACCTTTATTTAGGAGACCAGATAATCCAAAGAACAGCCGGTAACAAAAGTCCGTCTAAACCGCAAAAAACAAACAAACAAAAAATTCACAAGGTACAACAAGTGCGGACAAACACCGCAGAGAACTGAGCAGAAACAGAGGCTACAGCCAAAATACACACATGGCAATCAGGAAAAGACCAGGCAACGCCAGGGGACACAGATGAAACCAATAAGGTAAGACAAGACAGTGGAAGGAAAACGAAATATAGCGCACATGAGACAAGATGCTATCAAAATAAAACGGGGAGTTACAAAACACCGAAACGTAGACTTCAAACACAGAACAGCAGGCCCTATTCCAGCATGCATGTTATCATTACGTTTGCACCTAAGAGAGTCAGATGAGCTGTTCAGCTTGAGTTAAGCACGTTCGTTATCAAACGACCTCCAGCACCAGCATTTCAACATCGCAAAGGAAAATAAAGAACATAGATTTAATTTTAATGCAGCAGATCAGGAACTAGGAACAGCTGTCAGTGCTGACCATGATATTTAACTTAAAAAACAGGAGGGGAGAAATGACTCATTTTAATCTGCTTGGTCCACTGGAGACTGGAATTTTATCTTTGTATTTGGCTTTTAAATATAATTATTCAGCTTTAACAAACAAACACACACACACACACACACACACACACACACACACACACACACACA